CATGCATTTGTTAGCATCCCTCCATGCCCCAAGCAAAAACCAGGCGCGCCACCGGAAAAATCACGACGCCGAACGATGGAGAAAAGGTATAAAAGTACCACCTCATCAATTTACCAAGCAGCCAGTGCCGTGCATTATCATCATGGTGAGCATTGCCGCAGGAGACGTATGGAAAGAAACAATGAGCACCCTGTCGCGGGAAAGGAAGAATAAAATAGACCAACCGAGGGAACCCGAGACCAGCCGAGGATGCCCGTATGCCCGTGTAACAAAATGCAAGAAGGAACAGAGTAAGATCAAGCTGGATTCAAGAAATAAAAAGGTCAAAGTGAGAGAGAGAAAAAAAAAGAAACAGGCCATTCATTCAACAAAAGGAGAGGACAGACAAGACCATAAGGAGAAGATCGTCAGGGGAGAAGGGGATTATGGCGTTACGCAAAGCTTTGAGTGACCGGAGGTCCCGAGGCATCAAGCTTCAGAACTCGACGAATGTCATTCTCGATTTGCCTGGTGTCCACCACCCGGGAGGGAGATGGTGAATTCACCGGTATTTGGAATGAAGTTGAGGCATGGTTTGGCTGAGGGGAAGCATAGCCAGACCGCTGATGCTGGGAGGTTGCCATGTAAAGATTGCCATACGGCGCCGGGGAACCACCGTTCGAGCCGCTGTTCGAGACGGGGCCACGATACGGAGGCATTGAAGGTGGCGGGACGATGTCAACCTCACGGCGCAGGGGCGAGTGAGAGTGGCTGGGGTATTGGTAGTGAGGGCGTCCATTGTTCTGAGGAAGCTGGTGGTGGTGGTGGTGGGGAGAGAATGAGCCATGAGACGGGGTCAACTGAGGGCCAGACAAGGTTCGCATAGGAGTGGCATAGGGAGGCACATTGGAAGGACGGGGCCCAAATGGTCCAGCGTATTCGTGCGAAGCATAAGCCGAGGAAGGCGGCTTCTGTGGGGGTGGATTGAGCAACAGGTGCTTCAACTCCTCGGTCTTGATTCGTCGCTCCTCCTCAGTCATGTCAGAAGACTGGGGGGTACTCGAGGGTCGCAGCGCATTCATACGATCCTGGTATGAAGGAGCGAAAGAAGGGCCAATTTGTGAGTTGCGAGGGTAGTCAGGGTTGCCCATTTCAAAAGCAAACATGCTATCAGGATTGGGGCGCACGGCCCTGGGTTCTGTCTGGGGAGACTGAAGGACCTTGTTCACCTCAGGGCTGCTCGTGGACTTCTGGTCCCTGGCTTGCACAGCAGCCTTGAAAAGGAAGTCGAGAGGGGAAGGCTTGTGCTCTTCACCCTTGGATTGGTTGTTGCGGTTGCGAGGTTTGGACGGCGTCATCTCTAATTCGGGGTCCACGTCCGCATCGTCACTATCGGTCTCTATGGGTGGGACCAGATTGGCATCAGGGGCCGACTTGGAGAAAAAGCTAGGAATTGGTAAAGCAGACGGTGCAGGTGATGCATGGAACGTCGGTCCCGCATAGGCTGTGCTCGGCTTTGGCTGAGGAGAGGTGACAGCGGGGTGGGTTGGTGTGTGTCGGGGACCGCTGTTGTACCCGTTGCTGTGGTATCCAGAGTGCGGGGCAGGTGATGCCTTGTTGTCCCGGGGCTTCTTCCCTGAGCGTATGGGCTTCTTCTTCGAAGAGTTGAAGTTGGTTGAGGAATCCACCTGGATGACCCCAGGGCTCATGTTATGCGGCGGAGATGATGGAGGAGTAGAGAGGAGCACCGGTTTCTGGGCGTGAGGGTTCGTATTCTTCTTCTGAGGACGGCGGTTGTTGCGCGATCCCTTAGGGGTCGGAGGATGAGGAGATTGGGTCGACATGTCCACGGTTGGCTTGAAAAATAGGCAGCCTGAAGAGAGAGGTAAAGAAAAAGCAATGCTATGACGGAAGCAATAAAAGGCAGAAGATGCGGAGATTGCAGTAAAATGAGTCAGATCACTGCTCAGCAGGTGTCGACGATATTAGATATGGCAACGCCGGGGAAGCAGAGAAAGTGACGTGTATCAAACTGAGGGAGCGAAAGAGTCGCAAGTTGAGTCAAGCAGATGTAGATAGACAGTCTATTGAAAGATCTTGTCTATGAAACAGAGAGCGTGACAAAAGTCAAAAACAAAGATCAACCGGAGACATCTCTAAAAGAGGGAAAAGGAATAGAAGGAAAGGAAGATTGAATCATTGTTGTTGGTTGAAGGGAAAGACCATCGAATGCAGACAAACGGGGAGGGGACCCCGATCTCATCTCGATGACTAAGGACGCCACCTGCTTCACGATATCAAGAACAAACGAAGTCAAACAGAACTATCAACTGCTGGACAGGGTCACATTGTCGATTTTGTGCATTGAGTACCTTTGGAGATATCTCTTGTTTTAACTACCCACCAAAAAGGTACCTCGTCTGTTCTATCTCAACTCTCTACACTACAATCACCGCCCTCCATCACCGCCCAAACCTGGGCATCGGAGCCTCACTTACGTCAGTCACAGTTCTGATCCCCCCACCTCAGCTAGCTTCTGTCGTCTCGCCAAGCATTTCAAACCGAGACCATCCAAATTCCGACCAGAACCCTCAATATGACAGACGTGGAGATGAAGGAAGCCGCTACTGGCTCCTCCAAGGGCAAGGCGGTCGCCAAGGGCTCCGATAGTGCTGACAAGAAGAAGTTCGAGGTCAAGAAGGTACACAAAGACCTACTGTTCGCATCGACTCATGATACTGACTTGTCATTGTTAAGTGGAACGCTGTTGCCCTGTGGGCTTGGGACATCGTCGTCGACAACTGTGCCATTTGCCGAAACCACATCATGGACTTGTGTACGCTGAACTATCCTCGAAAGCTCTCCTTATCTTAAGCTGACCGTCCGATGAAACAGGCATTGAATGCCAGGCCAACCAAGGATCATCAACAACGGAAGAGTGCACTGTTGCCTGGGGTATCTGCAACGTGAGGACCTCCGCATCCACCCCATCCGACCATTTGGTCAGAAGCTAATTACTCCATTTCTACAGCACGCATTCCACTTCCACTGTATATCGAGATGGCTGAAGACCCGCCAAGTCTGTCCGCTAGACAACCGAGACTGGGAGTTCCAGAAGTACGGCCGGTAAAGAGGGGCACCGGGGGTTTCAAAGACACTACACGATACAAATTCACGATTTCTGGCTGATGCCGCATACTCAATGGCTTTAACTTGATACTTTTCTTTTTTTTCAAAGACGCGTCGGATCTTTACGATGGCTTAGGGATTGGCAGGCGTTCGAACGATTGATATCTCGAGCCAGCTCCATAGTTTCCAATTCTCATATTGAGTAGCAGACAAGAAAGCGCTGCCAAATTCTTCCAATGATTATTACGCTTGACAATTTCTCAACAATAGCTTATTGCACCTTCACCCCGTCCACAGTTATACCTGGAGCTGCTCTCGTGCTTGTTGAGCCCAGCCACTTCTCTGGGTTGCGGTTGTATACCGGCCAGGGCGGGACGACGACGAAAGCTGTAAACAGTGTGCCTGCCAAACCAGTCCATAATGTAAGGTGGATGTCCTTGTAGATGTATCCGATGACGAAGCTGGCGGCCTAGAACAGATACAACACTTGTTAGCTCTGGTAATGCAAGACTCATATTCGTGCAACATACCCCCGAGATAACCAGCAAGACGGTCGACAGTAGCTCTGCTAGACGTTGGCCGTGGAAGTCCTGTTATCGAGATCGTGTTAGCTTGGAAGGTCTAGACGCGGAGCAATGACAATGAATGGAGGTGGGGCAGCAGGGCGTACGATTTGGCCTTCAATGACATCCTGTATAGGGGCGAGTAACTCATCCATGATTGAAGCGAGTTAATCAGAGAGATCAACACGCCGGGTTTGAGGATCCCTTGATCGATGCCGGGCGGCTTATCGCAATGGTGTCATTTGCCTTCTGCCACGTCGGACCGCCTTGATCTCTACATTGTCCACGACACTCCATCGAAGTACTATGTACGAAGTACGCAATACACACTTGCAATATACATGTAATATGGATTCAAAATGGGGTTTTTCTTGAGAATTAACCTGATATTGAAGTTTAATCGTTACGTGGTTGATCATGATTTCATTTGATGTCATCTGCCATCTATCTCTAGAGCCAAACACAAAACGGTCTACCCGAGTTGGAACACTGCTGACGGGAAACTGGCCTCGAGAAACTCAGTCTATGATCATGTACCAGTGTACAAGACCCTGCAAATCCAAACGTAACCAGAACCCAGCTACCGTGTCGGAAGGCTCACATGCACCCTGCAATGCGAGAAGCAAGGAGCGGTGAGAACGACATCTTGCATGACCCATGTGGTGGCGGTTAGGAAAGAATTCTTCTTCCCATATGCAGCCACATACAGATAGCCTTCGGGTCCCAATGCTCCAAGGCTGCCGACATGCTTGTATGTCAAGCATGGCGAAGCGCTGACTCGCAGGTAGCGATCGTGCTGTGACGATACAAAAGCTGCCGGCTTTTAGTTATAGGTGACAGTTGCGCCATCATGAGCGGGCTCCAGCAGCTTCCATTGGCAGGAGATACCATTGGAAGCGAACTGTGCGATAATGCGGTCAGCAATCTCGGTGAAGCGCTCCGTGGCCAGTGCCAGGATGGTTGGTCCTGCACCGGAAAGACAGATTCCTAGCAGACCGGGTTGAGTGGCAGGGGTCATGAATTGGAGGATCTCAGTCAAGCCTGGGATCAGCGTCTTGCGATACGGCTGGTGCACCTTATCCTGCATAGCGAGGAAGATCATATCGGGATCCGGCGGTGAACTTCCCAAGGCCGCGGGGAGGAGTGCCGCACGCTGGAGATTGAAGACCTAGCCGGAAATTAGCCTGGGAACAGATAACTTATCAATTCGGAACATTCACATACCACGTCCTCTCTCGAGTAGGTCTGCGGGAGTACATTACGGGCGTTGGCAGTAGGAACCACAAAGTCAGGGATAATGGCAATGGCCTTGATCTCTGGAGCCCAGTTGAACTTCCTGTAATGACCAATGGCCAAGGGTGGCTCGGGGGGTCTGATGCCGGTGTCCACACCACCTGCCGGAGCAGGCAGGACTTCACTCAGGGGGATCTCTTTGCGTGCCACGTCCTCGGGCTTAAGTTCATTCAGATAGGTGCCCACGAACCCACCGAAGAGGGAAGCAGCCACGTTATCTGGGTGCCGCTCTGTTCTGACGTTAGTCATATGTACGAAATACGAATAATTTTTGTTTTTTCCCCTCCCCCGAATACTCAGATGAGGGGCACATAAAACATATCCAACCTACCAATCATCAAACAATAATCGAGTAACCGTTCCTTGCTCAGACCCAGCTTACCAACCTCATTGCCCAGCATGACACCGGCGACCACGGCGGTACCAGAGGACCCCAGACCCCGGCCTAACGGGATGGGGTTGACGATATGCACCTTGGTCTCGACGGGGAAGGCGCGCTGGTCATGGCACCTGAGGACATACAGGGCTACACGGGTGATCAGATTGACTTCTGGGTCGAGACTGATCTGCTCAACACTCTTGCTTTGGTCTTCATACGTGATGGCGCAGTTGAATGGTTGCTGGGATGAGGATTTGGCCTCGACTGTGACGTGAAGATCCAGGTGGAGGGACAATGCCAAGCCGATCACATCGAACCCGGGGCCAATATTGGCAGAGGAACAGGGGATCTTGATCACGAAGGAAGTCATGATGACTATATGTTCCAAGTGCGTAGGGTCCAAACACACAAAACGTACAAGATCGTCTGATAGTCTGGTATGTGACTCTGAATGTCTTGGCACGAAAAATTGGCCGACGTCGGAAACTGGAGTGGAGACTTTTCCCGACTTCTTTTAACTTGGATTTCTTTGGATTGGATTTGATTTGTTAACCTGTCAGATCCGATTGCATACATTCATTATATTGTCGGTGTGTTTCTTGACTCTATACGCTTCATCTTACATTAAACGTCCATGTTCCACATAAAAAGGCGAGACATAAGAAAAAGGGGTTGTTTTTACCGAGATAAATTGGCTCTGGAGTAATATTATTGTCATCTAACCTGGAAATACCAAAAGGCCAAGGACAAAAGATCCAAAGGCTAATACATGCATGGATTGTAGTATACGGAGTATAGAGGGGAAATGTAAGAAGTCAAAGCTGCATATGAGTCGATTACATTCGACATAAAATGCCTCAAAGCATTACTTTATCAAGAAAAAAGTAGCCTAGTCAAGTCTAGTCAAGAATAGGTTACTTTATATTGCGTTGTCCTCTTATAGACCTTTTTAGACCTTTTTAGACCTTTATCTGCTGAAACGGTGGGGGGTGTTGTACCCGCTTGCAAAATTTTCACTGAGCTTTGTCTGCCGTTTTCTCATATTAATTCTAACACCCCCACTGTTTCCTTATTTTCTCCTATTAATCCAACCCCTGAGGTTCTTTAAATTGAAAATCCATATCCTAAGTCTTTTGATATCCCGTGGGTGACTCAGTGGGCTTTCGGAACCACCTCGGCATCATTGACTTCGATCTTTGCCACTTCATTTTATACCTTTTCCCACCCTTCCCGCTTTTCCCACTAAATTCCACTCCAACTTCTTTGTTTAACTAGAATTTTCAATTGATCTCGAAACTCGAGAACTCGAACTCGAACGTTAGCGTTCAACTTCCCGCGCACTTTTCGCGCCTCTCGTCTAACAGCAACTCTGGAGCTACCAAGCTCCTCATCCTCCCACTTCTTCAAGTTGGCGGGACTTCGCTACTCCAAGGCCTCTCTCCTCCACCCTCTTGCAGGCCCCAAGTTCCGGGTCTTCGGCGGGGGCGACACCAGACCCCCCTAACTGGGTTTCAGGAACTTCATTATTGTGGCCGCCGGACGTTAGTCGGTAACGCCAGACCCTCGTGAAGGGTCTGGCTTATGGATGGAGGGCCGTCACCCTTGAACGAACCTCTTACCGGCTTTCGTCTGCTCCGGCCGTCGTGCTATCAAAGAGCAAATATTACTAAACCAAACTCGCAAAAATCCGCCAATCTGGCGCCCTAATCGCTTTCGTTGAATCCTCACATACGGAGAGCTCACCATGTCCGAGTCTCCTAGATCCGAGAGGTACATGTACCTGACCAGGTACAGTACCCCGGTACCTGAACTGGATGATCACCGCCTCCAGATGCAAACGCCTCCACGCATTGAGGTACCGGTCGAGCGTTCTTACAGCCCGCACGATACCACTCAAGGTCCTGAAATTCTCGATCGTCCAGATTTGCTCAGTGCGCAAGATGCCCGAAGAGACGGTCCAATTCCCCGAGATTTCGAAAATGCCGTGGACGACAATCGTTCCCTGAACGAGTTGAATGGACTCGGTCGACGGTTCTCGGTCGACCATAACGCAACCTACCAGACTCCTCGTCGCATCAGCATTGTGAACCCGGATCTCGTCAACGCTTCCTGTGCCTCGTCCGTATCCGCTCGATCCTCGTCTCCTCCCAATTCAGTTGAGGCTTTTGCCGACCCGCGTCGCCGTGAGCGCGCCAATACCCTGGACAGCCACGCGCCTCCCGACTTGGAAGCTATTCTGCAGCGCACCGTTTCGGGTGGTACCCACAATCGGCGCCCGACTTTTAGCAATGCCAGTGCCATTCGCCCTCAGTTGGGTGATGTGCCATTCGACACGGCAGAAGAGGCCTGCTTCGAGGAGCCAGGCCGTATTCCCGTCATCGATTATGAGGAGCTTGAGGAGTTTGTGGCTCTGAATCCGAGCATTAAAGTCGCCGATGCCGATCGCCGCAAGCACAGCATGAGCTCGCAGAGCAAGAGGCCCCGCATCTTTTACGACCTCCGCCCTGGCGCCGAAAGCCCTGAGATAGGTGCAATGAAAAAGACTGGCTCGTCTGATACACTAAGTGAAGATGAGAAGAAAGACGCTGCTGTTACAAACGAAAAGGAACGGTTTAAAACACAGCAGAATGTAAACCAGCGCTCTCGCTTTGGATTCTTTTCATCCGAATCTCAAAGCACAGTGCATGCTGCTGATTTGGGAGATCTGGTACTCCCTGGCGAAACCTTCCGAGATCTTTTTGAGCTTGGACCTGAGGGAGGTGTGTGGTGGTTGGATGTGGTTAACCCTACCGATGAGGAATTGGGAGCTATCTCCCGGGCTTTCTCTATTCACCCGCTAACAACGGAGGATATTCAAACTCAGGAAGCCCGCGAGAAGGTTGAACTGTTCAAGCAGTACTACTTTGTCTGTTTCCGGACCTTCTTCCAAACGGACAAAACTAGTGAGGAATTCCTTGAGCCTGTTAATTTCTATATGGTTGTCTTCCGAGACGGTGTCCTCACTTTCTCCTTCGAGGACAACCCGCACGCATCCAACGTTCGGAAACGTATTGGAAAACTGCGAGACTATGTGGCTCTCAGTAGTGACTGGATTTGTTACGCGATGATCGACGACATCGTGGATAGCTTCGGCCCTGTGATCCGAGATGTGGAATTGGAATCCGAGGCGATCGAAGACCATGTCTTCATCGCCCGAGTGGACGATTTCGAATCCTTCCTCCCTCGCATTGGAGGCCTTCGCAAGAAGGTCATGAGCTTGATGCGCCTGCTAGGCGGCAAGGCTGATGTCATTCGTGGATTCTCCAAGCGCTGTAACGAGCAGTACTCGGTTACCCCTCGTGGTGATATTGGTCTTTACTTGGGCGACATCCAGGATCACGTTGTGACCATGATGTCGAACTTGGCGCATTTCGAAAAGATGCTCAGCCGGTCTCATACCAATTACTTGGCTCAGCTGAATGTCACCAACTTGGTGTTGGGAAACCACGTCAACAAGGTTCTCAGCAAGGTCACTCTGATTGCTACGATTCTGGTCCCCATGAACTTGATCTGTGGTCTGTTCGGTATGAACGTAGAAGTTCCCGGCGCGCACTCAGAAGGATTGACGTGGTGGTTCGGCATTCTTGGAGTCATAGCAGGTATTGTTGTTGTGAGTATTGGCATAGCCCGCTGGCAGAAGCTGGTTTGATTTTTTTTTCCCTTGTCTATTGCTGATTATGTTGGCTTGCTATTTTCCCTTGACTTTCCTTTCCCTTTTGCATTTGCATGTTGCCTGACCGTGATTTTCTGCTTTGTTTCGAGCTACAATACCTTTTGACAGAATATAATTTTCATATTCTTCTAAACGACATGAATATAACCTGTTTCAATTACAAGGGTTGGCCAGCCCACATGATCAATTGAGTTAGAGGAGCGAGAAGGTGGAGTAAAGGCATGGTCCGCCTGCTTTCCCTTTGTTCCGGCGAACTTGTAGGTCTTGGACCGGACCCATAGCGATTGCTTGCGGCGTAGACCCATCGTCAAAAGCTGTTCCTTGACAGTATCGGCAAACCGATCGGCCACCACCTCATGTCGGCCCGAGGTAACAACTTTGATCAGCCCCGTTGATCCCTCCCACTGGAATCTGTATGTGATCCCCCCTAGGCTGGTGTGGTCATCGTCCAGCTTGTTAATCATTTCTGGCCGTAGACCAAGGACGACGATCCGTTAGTTGCCGTCATTGTGTTGCTCTGTGATCTTTTCCGCCTCCAGTTTCAGCCACTTTAGGCGCGAGAAAGTGCATACGATATGATCGTCTGGGAGATCAAACATAAGAGACAGCCCGGAATCGCCGTCTTGGGCTATTGTCGGGGGTATTGATGTCAGCTCGTCAGGATGAAACCGGAGTCAGAGACCAGATGGTCGGTCAGGTTGATGAAATCAGGTGGTTGCGTCTATCATACGATGGAGATCAGAGTTGGCTAGCTGTATCGGGGATGGACGCCTGGGATGGGTTTGTGACTTCTACTCTCTACCTAACAGACTAAGAAGGGGGAGAAAATATCCATATGACTAGATATCTACAAACCTACCTAAGGAGACCACTAAAAAAGACCACTAAAAAGACCACTAAAAAGACCACTAAAAAGACCACTAAAAAGACCGCTAAAAAGACATAAAAAGACTATCGGAGAAGACCACTGGACTACAGCCGTATAAGCGGCCGACTATTCTTGTCTATAATATCTCAAATTCCTACAATATCAACTCCTACAGTGTCATTTTCCACACTGTTATTTTCTATCAATTTCTACGTCAATAAAATACACGTCTACTAATTTTGTGAAATGTTCTGCTGGCACACTACGATATGGCGCACTGGCGGCTATACACTGCCGTACTATGTGTTCTGAATCAGGCAGCAAGGCAGCCAAATTGATAAGACTAGCATTTTCCACGATAGCCGGCCTCGTCCAAACAACTCACGTCGACTACATGCAGCCGCTGATTTTGCCTCCAGGAAGAGGTTTACAGCTGGTGTATACCACCGCTTGCCTGTGATAGCTTTGCTCGCCAACTCCAATTCTGCCCATTGGCTGTGCAGCGACACCCTCCCCTCCGTCCTTCCATGCGACGCCAATACAACGCGCTGCAGTGCTATATTACTGCAACGATTAGTGCAATCTTCCTTCTTTTCGCACTAACCTGCGACTCGGTTGCTTATGCCTATGCCGATGCCCCCAATGGCCCGGACACATGGAGCACATTAAACCTCCGAGGGGCGGTTACCAGCGACGGGGCAGGACTCCCACTTGCGCTAGACTCGTTCAATGGGCTGGAACTTCGCGACAGTGTCGACGAAGATGGCGAGTCAAATGGGCTGGAACTCGTGCGCAGATACCCTAATGCCGCGAAAGCGTTGGGCAACAATAAGTTCGAGGCACCGGACGCGCTCGAGATCGGCGCTGTCCACTGGTTCTACCTGCCCGAGACCGTGGTGAACGGCAAGCACGACACTAAAGGGGCGGGTCTTCCTGCCTACATGAATGCTACGGATGGCGATGAAGATGACTCGATCCATGAGCTACGGAAACGAGACGAGGACTTCTCGAAGCGAGCGATGACAACTGTCTACTTGTCCCTCACGACCTGCAGAAAACCAGATACCAACAAAACCAACCTACAAGCTGGATTCCCGCAGTTGCAAGTGTATGTGTCGAATTCGGAGAAACTGCAACAGCCAGGACCGGGCAAAGACGACTCGCAGCAGGATATACACACTGCTGTTGGCGGGTATGTGGGAATCACCATAGACACGGACAGCGACCTCTTCATCGGCGTCGCAGCGCCTAATTCAACCGACTACACGGGCAGTTACACGTACCAGATCGCAGCATCTATTGATGACTTTTTCCACAATATCGTGGACAATGACCCAAATCTATTCTTCATCGATGCAGACGTGTCAGCCGCGCTGCTAGTGACGAACAACCTGACACAGTCTGCGGAAAACTCCACGAATTACCAACAATGGATGGACATCGTCCCTCCGTATACTATGTTTGCCCACAACATCAACGATACAGCACTGGAGGGCTTGGAGAAATCGTTCTGCGCCCTCGATGCGCTTTCCCAGGTGGGACGAATCAGTAATTCAACAGAGGTTGGTATGACCAATCGCGGACTTGGGAACAAGCCTAAAGAACAGTTCTATATTACTGGACTGAACCAGAGTTCATCGTACAGCGGTCTTCTGGCAATGGTGGGCAATTCGACCGCGGCCGGGAATGGCATCGTCGGCGGCGGCGGCAAGGTATGGCAACCGATGAATTTCACGACCAAAGCAGGTGGGCAAGCCCAGACAATCCCTACAAGAAAAAGATCCCCTTCTAACCATCCTCCAGACGACAACTGCGCCGTGTTATTCAACCTAACCTTCTGCTCAGAAGTGGCATACGCAGTCCCATCAAACCCAAAGTTAAGCGTCGACAAGCTCCGCACAATCTACGACGACCACGCCGCGGCCTTCTACCAGAACTTCACCTATTCTCTCCAACAAATTCAATGCAAAACAAGCGAAGAATCGATGTTCTCCCTCGCCGTCGACTGCGACGACTGTGCCAGGTCCTACAAACAATGGCTCTGCGGCGTCACGATCCCCCGCTGCGCGGATTACAGTAGCAATGCCGAATACCTGGCCGTCCGTAATGCAGGCCAGCCCTTTATCAATGGCACTTCCTTACCGGATGACAGTCCGCACCGCCAATCCGTGGCGTCGAATACATCCCGCAATGCTATCATCGATGAGAAGATCAAGCCGGGTCCCTATAAGGAGATCCTGCCCTGTCAGGATATCTGTCATACCCTGGTTAAGGATTGTCCGTCTGCACTTGGCTTCGGGTGTCCTGAGGGCGCGTGGATGAATTCCTCTTATGGCTATCGGAATTCAGATGGTATTATCACTTGCTCTTATCTTGGGGCTGTGTACTATTTGAGTCCAGGGGTGAGACTGGATGCTCGGGATTGGGTTTTTAGTTTGGTGGTTATGGGAGTTATGTATTTGCTGTAGATACGTACATATTGACTACGGTGTGCTTGTGCTGTTTGAGTTCACAGTATATTTTGTTCCTTTCCCTTTATCTTCTCTGGATAGCAAGCGCTCAACCTCATCCCCTGTACACTTGAATATTGCGCTTGAATTTGGATATAATAGAGCACACAGTGCACATATACCGAGCAAGTCACCATTCCAGATCTTTCGTTTTCGCCAATTTCTCTTCTTTCTTACTCTTCTTCTCGTCTTTCGAACCTCCTACCTCTTCTTCAATCCCCCAATCTCCCCATCTCTCCCTCCAAATCCCAATCTCTTGCTTCCACAAATCCCTTACACAAGGATCACACGAACTCCCACAACAATCCCCCAGTCCTGGTGGAGGTGGTGGGTCATTGTATTCTCGCTCTCCTGCGCGGAGGAGTTGTTTTGTGCGGGTTTTTGTTAAACGGGTCTTGTACAGGGTTTTGAATAGGGGTGTCTCTTCGGGAGTGTAATATGGCTCTGGGGTGAATTGTGTAGTTGAGTGTGAGGTCGGGGTTTCGATTGATATTCTAGTTGGACCTTTGGTCTTCTCTTTTTCTTTGTTTTTTGGGGATATTGAGGTGGTTGGCTCTGGAGGCGTGCTTGAGAAAGAGAATGGGGAGAGGAGACTTGAGAGTAGGTTTGCTGGGGAGTATATTGAAGGTTTGGATGTGTCTTTCTCTTTCTCTTCTTCTTCTGCTGTCGGTGTCTCTGTTGGTGCGATAATCTCTTTGGCTTTGGAGATATTTTCAGATGCAGTAGCAGATGTTGATGCTGATGAAGCAGTCTGACTCTCTGGTGTCTCGATGCTCATTTTGATATACCGGATATCGAGATCAAATACAAGCAAATTAAATCATATAGAGACTAACCAAGTCTCAAGTTGGAATCTGTTATCTCGTTAGTAACGTTTGAGAAATTCATATAGAGCAAACCCACAAGTTTTTGCTAAATCTAAGCTTCCAAATATCCAATTGCGCAAAGATATATAATACTTACGGACATGTTGCGGTAAAGAATAAGAAGAGCATGGCGAAGAAGTACCGGACCCGGGTAAGAACTGTTTTCGTGCGGTTCCTGTTCGTTCCGATGTCCACTCTTATGGACGTAATCTATATTGCTTGCACTGCGATTCTTATACTAATGCCCATATCCTGAAAATTTGGCTAAAAAAAGTAACATTATGCCCAGTACAGACATGATTGTTTCCGGGGACAAATGATAAGCAAAGAAATCAAACGCCGTTAGAGTCTATCAACTCCGTGGTATCATGCAGCTAAAGAATAAAAAAGTAAAGTCATAAACTACCATCACTTTCGCTTCGGCGTGGGCGTCCAAACATTCCCCAGTCCAGACTTCCGCTCTTTAGGCCTCGGGGTCCCAACCTGCTGCAACAGCTTCTGCGCCGCAGGCGTAAGCATCTTTCCCTGAGCATTGCCTCCACCATAGACAGAGCTCCTACTAGAGCCAGCTCCAGGTGTAGATCCAGACCCAAAGTCAAGCCGAGGACTACTAGCAAAGCGCGGCGTCAACGAGACAGGAGTCTTCGTGACACGGGCGGCCTTTTCAGCACGCTTGTTCCGCGCCGCTCGATCGACCATGCGGTGATGCAGGGCTTCGCGCTTGCGAGTCTCGCCAAGTTGGAAGGGATTTGGCTTTTCAGAGGTCGGTCCAAGGAGGCGCCAGTCAGCTTCCATGTCGTCGGTTTTAGAGCTGGAGCCATATGTGACTTCAGGTTCGGGTTCGTCCTCGTCGACGAAGGCATATCCGTTGACCCTCGGGGTTTCGCTTCCTGCGAAGGCGGATGCGGCTTCGGACTCGCTGAGACGCGGCCGGCCGGCGATGGCGTCTTGGATGGCGGATAGGGACGGTGAAGGGGCCACGGCGCTGGCGGCGTCCGCTGCTGCCGCCGCATGTGGGTCTAGGAGTCTTGTATTTTGGTAGAGAGTTCGCTTGGGGCCTGCTCGGGATGTGACTTCTGCTTTCTGCGCGAGTGTCTCGTGGGTATCCTCCACCGAGGAAGGGAGGAACATTAGCGTGTTGTCTGGACGGCTTTTCCACGTGTTTGGATTTGCGGGGCGAGCATTCAGGTCTGTTTTGATAGGGGGCTGGCCATGCTCGTCTCGTTTGATAAGGCCCATTTCCGGTTTCCCGCCTTGAGCTATGATGCGCTTGGTTTCTTCTTGCTGGTGTGCAATCTGTCGAGCCGAGGGAATTTTGTTTCCGTTCCAAAGCCAAGGATATTTCTCCCGTCGCTTTTCGTTCTGCTTGTCGAGGACTTTGTTGAAGGACTCGTTGTCTTCGCTGGTATACTTTGCCTGGAAGGCGACCAGTCCCATATTCGATACATCGGGGAGATTCCGGTCTTGCGTTTCGGTTGCTGCCGTTGAAGTCGACACGACGGACATTGGGGTATCACCCCCCCAGCCGTGTGGAGTGTCACCAGGGAAATGCTGCGGTGCGCTCGGAACCGATGCATGTTCTGTCTTTCGTCTTGCATTGGACCCGGGGGTGGGTGTTCGCATGACGTCCGCCAACTTCTTTTTGGAGCTGGTAATCCATGCTTTGTCCTTAGATTCAAGGGCTTCCAGGTACTCTTGTTTGATCTGTGTCTCGAGTAAGCCTGGAAAGAAGTCGCGGGCGATAATGTGGGACAAGGTGCTGGTGTAGACGTCTTCGTCCAGGACAGTCGCGGGGCGTTTGATTCGCTTCGGGGGCGGTGGAGGAGGCATAAGCTGGCCAGCAGACTGCTTGACCAGCTCCTGTGAAGGAGGAGACGCCATGTTTGTAGATCAAAGGGTCGGGGTGAGAGTAAGAAAAGAGAGACGAGTTGGTCAGTTGGTGGCGATAAGATAGCGGGTCATGATAGTGGTCTAACCGCTTTAGGCAAACATACTTCTGACGCCGCTAACATATTGTATTGCATAGACCATGTTATGAGCTAGGTAGGGTATGTTGCATATATGTTTATCCTTACAATCACTACAGGTTTGGTAAACCTGGCTTTCTTTTGATCTTGATGTATATGAAAGCATGTCTTCCCTTTTCAATATATCGGAACCCAACCTTGGAACCCTGTCTCTGTCCACGTCAGAAAGATGTATGAAACATAGAGTCCTATTCATATCTAGGCTTGGAGTTATCCATGGGAATCTTCCAGGTATATAGGTATGTGCAATATTTGATAGAGTTCCAAGGTACATACGTATGTATGTAGCCTTCATATTCGTGTTAAGCCTCTTTCGGACTAAACTCATCATTACTCATACCGTGAGTTATCAACTTGCATTAGAGATCTCTTCTGTCCTTTTACATCTTCTAACTTGCTAATATTTATTTGGATTACTATCATTACCTACATAGGTATACTATACACGATGTTGGTTTCGATGAAAGGAACCTCCCCCAGTATTGGGCAATCTCTCAAGGCTATTGCTATTACACCTTCTCCCTGCACCGGAGATATACGCCAGTGTCTTAAGCCCACGTTCGTTACCTATCCTATCCTGAAAGCTCTAGGACTGGATTTACTAGACGCCCTTCCTGTTGAGCTATTACTATCAATAGCAGATTTTCTTCCCCTCGAGGATATCTACTGCCTCTCACTTTGCAACCGTCGACTTCTCGCAATACTCCGGAGCTGGAAAAAGCAGCAATACCTGGAAAGAAAGGTCCGGTTGTCTTTCTTACGTCGGCTCGAACGTGATCACCCACGATACTTGACTTGCGATGACTGCTTAGTCCTTCATGATTTGGGCAGTATATCAGAGCCCTTGGGGTTATCATATCCGACGCATAAGTACCCGCCTCGTCTTGACTGCCCTGCGCTTAGGCCTAGTTATAGTACATGTGGTCGGTCGTGGATAGTTCCACATAACCTGTCCAGTGTATACACTGATTATGCATTTCACTTTTCTCATCTTCAGCTCACTATGAGGCTATTCTATAGCGGTTTTCAATACGGGCTTACCACAGATGCGCTGTCCTTTACCGAAGTGACAAATGAAACTTTTGAAGGAGACAGGGTCCTCAAACCGACTACTCTATTCTCCGTTGAGGCACAGATATGCCCCAAGCCACCGAGTCTGTATTTGCGAATTCAGGATATCATGTCAATGAATGACATGCGGCTACTACACGACAATGAGTACTATGATGAAGTGGACGAAGACTGTTTTGCAAAACTCCAAATCTGCGAACACAAATATAGAACGTTTTGGATGCAGTCTATCCCTCGAGATGTATACTTGACCCACGAGTATTCGTCCTGTGACCGTTGCAACACCGACTGGGACATTGAATTGTTTGAAAACCGACCAAGTGGTCATGTCACTATAGTGATGACCAGATACATCAACCTTGGGCCCGGTCTCAGCTTAGATGATCCCCGATGGAGTGTTCACGCAGGGTCTGAGTGCGAAGAGCCAGTTTGCAAACTGGACTTGAAATACATGACCTCGAGTCCTCGGCATACGTTTGAAGTCCTTACCGATACCGCACTCGACGACCTGACTTCTCGCAACATCTCCTACCTCGAAAACGAGAAGTATCAAACCGCAATGGTACCAGTCCCAGGGAGTGTGCCTCCTTCATGGGCTCTGTGGAATGGGGCAGCTGCACCTTCGTGAAGCTTTGGTGGTATATGGTCTTTGTTTTGGCGGCGAGACAGATAAAGCAGAAGGACCTGTAATATTTCCTGCTCAAAGATGTTCTGTATCAAGTGACTTTAATATTATTTTTTATCTCACAAGCAAGATATGCGTATGCCTACTTGACTAGCCTGTCATCCACGTTTCTAATGTCTCTTAAAACCACGTTCTTAAGATGTCTTCTTTTTTCATGCATATATCCTTCATTGTAGCTGAGCGGGAATAACAAGCACAAGTCTCCTTGTCCCAAGGGCGATTTTCTATGACAACTATCCTGATTCACCCGTGCACCGGTCCAGTCCCGCGAGGGTCACTAGACCATATATGATTCAGGGCAGTCCACTGATCCTGTAGAAGGCCCATAACAATATAAAGGATGATGAACTACACATATTCTTCATCTCTACAGCTATAGTTGTAAAGTCATGCCAACGAATGGTATTGGAGCAGATCAGCTCCTCCTCTATTGAGAATCAAAGTCTATAACAAGGCAAAGAAAACCAGAGACTAGCGAATGACCCAAAACAATTCCAGATTTCCTCCAAAAATCCTTTTCCTTTTCCTCTTTTCCTCTTTTCCCAAATCGCCCTTCCAAGACACCAGGCCAGTAAAAATCGCTATCGCTGAGAAATGCATCGACGTGAAATATTGTCCACAGCTGAAACACGCGTAACAGAACGTAAAAAGGAAATAAGATATGGCTCACAGGCAAAGACAAGACAAGTTAAACATAACAGACACACAAGGAAAACACAGATCGTGGACTCATTGAGAGATGGATGAGGGAGGTACATCGGATGACAAAGCGAGAGATTTGATATAGATATGCAAGGATGAAAAAGGGGTGAAAAAAGAAAATCAACACAAAATAGGGGGTTGATGATAAAGATAGTGACACTCAATGAGCAGTTGTTGGGAAGAGAGAGTATGATGGCGAGCGAGCCTTCCTCCTGTTCGGGTTTCTGGCAGGAACAGGAGGCAAAGGAGCCTCGAATTTTATCGGCTGGGACTCGACCTCCGAAATGGACTTGGCGCGGTCATGAAGCGACACGGTAAGATCCGTGCCCTCGAGACTCGTGCGGCTGCCACTCTGGAGGAAGTGCGCCTCGGCGAGACTCTTGGTCTGGCGGTGGTGGGAGGACGATGCAGGGCGGGTGAGTGCCTCTGCGGCCGTCATGCGGTCAGTTGGCATGAGCTCGCGGCTGCTGGACAAGCTGTGGATGAGCTCTGGGACGCTGTTCGTCGTCGAGACAGAGGAGCGGTGCTTCCGCACAATGGAGGCTGCGCGAGAGAGCATCAGGCTCTCCTGCGAGTTGCACTTGCTTATCGGGGAGAAGCTGCTGCGTGGGGAGATGGGGCCCATCATGCCCTGCGAGAAGGGGAAGTGGCGGTCTGATTCGCCATCAGTCGTCATGTACTCCTCATACAATGGTTCGTGCGAGATTTGTTTCCCCATTGATGGGAGGATCGAGGAACTGACGGGATGGAAGTAGTCTGTGCCCCGCGCGATAAAGTCCTGCTCATAGTCTGTGGTTGAGGGGGTGGGGGCTGAGTGGGAGGGCATCGACTGGGCTGGGCTTGGGTCCAGGTCTGGGGTTGCTAGGGCAGAGGTGCTCAGTGGGCTCGGTTGGAGTTGTCGGGTTCTCGGGGCGAGCCAAGGGCCATCGCTGCAGGCGACGCCGATTTGAGGGCGTGCTTCGTCCAGGGATGTGCGAGACCAATCAAAGTTGGAAGTGGACTCGGCTGCGTGCTCATAGCAGTAGTCGATGTCTGCGTCCCACGAGTCATACAATTCATCTTCGTATGAAAATTGGTGCAGGCTGGCGGTAGGCTCGGGTGGTGTGACCTCCACCTGGGCGCGAGGAGTGTCCGTGTCGTGGGGATGTTGAGGGAGAGTCGGCGAACCCAACGCCTCAGAGAACTTCCTAGAGAGCTCCTCGGCCACATAGATCGACGAGGGAGCTTTGCCCTCGCTGGTGCTGGGTGACTGGGTATTGGCTGGAGGTTGGCTGGCCTGTGAAGTTGTGCGGGAATGGGGACATCCCATGCTGGACTCGGCGCTTTCCCAATAGCGGGTCCCTTCCTCTTCCTCGGGGACATCTTCCAAATCATAGTGGCTGCTCATGGACGAGGTCCTGGCGCTGTCATCTGCGGGCTCGGGGCTGAAAAACCGGGTTGGCTGCACTGATTGGAGATCTGGGTACGTCATCGCGGTGGACAACCCCAGGATCTCGTCAATGGCACGGGGTGCCGGCTCGTCAGTCTCAGGCGGGGGAGTCTCCGGCACAGCAGGAGGCGGGGGAGTAGTGGGACAGGATCGGGGATATCTTGAGACTGGCCGCGAGAAGTTCTCGTTGACGCGAGATTCTCTGCGCGCGTGGTGCGCGTGGTACTGGTGTGCTTTTGGAGAAGCCGGTGGGCTTACACTGGGCACATCCACCGTGGTGGCAGTTCCAAGCGAGCGCAGGTCATCACTGGAGAAATTACGGAAATGAATGTCCTCGGCGCGGATACCTTTAAGATCGGTCTGGGGCCGTTGAGATGCTCGGATTGCCGAGAACTCAGTGACAAGATCGTTCTCGCGTGTTTGATCTAAAGACTGGAACTGCGAGGGGTTGGTATGAGTCAAGTGGTGGAAGTCAAAAGGATCCGAAATAATGCTTTTCAAACGCTCGCCTATATCAATTGTCAAGGGTCAATTGAATCCACAATTTCAGCTATCAGCAGCTGAGTGGCTGGCAGACTTACTGTGATCGGTATGGCGTGCGCGACGGCCAAACCGCTCTCTTTCAGGTCGTGCTTTCTCACGATCAGCCTCGTCTTCCTCGTCCAGCGTGGCGACGATGTTGATCTTGCTACCCTGTCGACGCAGGATGCGGCTTCCCCGCGCCAAAAAGGAACGAGACGGCTTGTCCTGCTTATCAGAGCGGAGTCCCAATGACGAACCGGCCCGCTCATCAGAGGCAATTGAACTATCTGTCGAGGTCATGGAAGAACCCGGTGACCGGCGTGAAGAAGTCGAGGTAGTGGTATTGCTTCTTGAACGACCGCTAAAGACGGACAGACGCTTGGGGCTGTGAGCGTGGGCAGTGGACCTGGAGCGGATATGTGCGGCATGTTCTGGGTGCTCGTTCGACGAGTTCGTGGACGGACGGTCACTGCCGTCGTCGGTGTCCCAGGCTTTAGCCATGGAAGGTGGAAAGTTCGACATGGTGTGAAGTGAAAGAGACTACACCATGATAAGATGAAATCTGGAGATCTCCGCCGCCTACAACATAAAGGAGCGAAAGTGGAAAGGAACGGTTCTCGAGTGGAACAAAAAGAGGTCGTGCCGATTATAATAAATTAATAGAATACTCGATGACGGGGGCAATACAAGACACGGAGTGGTAGTGGAGCCGCGTTCAGGGGTATTTATGGTATTTACTTTTCTTTTTCTTTTTTCCATTATTAGTATATGATGTTATAGTCATCTCCTATATCGTGTATGTTATTTCTGTTAGATCTATTTGTTCCCATCACTCTCTTTGTTTGAATCGGAGCGGTTACACCATGCACTCTGCCGGCTTGATTGGTTTTTTCTCTATTGATCATATTCCATACACAAACAATCCAAAAAACGGGAACCAAGTATAAACGGGATAGTAACCAAGGTACGTTCCTCAAACATCCCCATGTAAAGAAATTCGGAATTCCCAGTGTCACGGAGCCGATACCCAACTGCCTTAGTGGCATATGCATCGAGCCAGGGGGTTGGTCCTGAACGTGCTGGGGACCCGCGTGTGGGGAAAAGAAAAGAAGCTATTCCAAGTTCAGCAAGAATCAGCCTTCCGATACGCCCCGTTCTGATATTTATTTATTTTTTTTGTATTTTTCCTACCAAAAGGCTCCAGGGTTCCAAGGTTCGCCGTTAGCTTTGACCCGTGGACACGGGAGAGAGGGGGACACGATATACGCGATCTGGCTTATACAATGTAGATTTTGTTCCTACAGTATTCCATACCCATGCATATTATCCTTGTAGGTATAATTCAATTCTATTGGGCAAGATATTCAATTGAATACCCAATGACGATATTGAAACAGTTCCATACTGTACACTTAATTCCTTACTCCATACATACCAAGGTAGCAACGTTAGGAGTCCAGGCTTGAGTGGAGAGACAAGCCCTTATCACGATAAGTCGGCACACTGGAACCTTGGATATGTTTTCCTCTTTCCCTTGCAACGTTGTATACATAAAATATGGTACATATTATCTCTGTTTCTGATTTATTAGATTCTCTAAGTTCCGAATAATATCCTTCCCTTTCCTCTAAGCTTTGCCTTGCGTGAGGTCTGAAACCAGCCATAAACGCCTCTTCCCTTCCCCGCGCATAGCGGAGCCTCGGTTCAACGGTTTTCATCAAAGTATCCGGCCCTAAAAGTGATTCTAGTTTGAAAACATAGGGCTTGTGAAACAGATCCCAGTCACAGATCGCAAATCTACTTTTCGCTATCTGGCAGTGGGGTTCAGAAGTCCATAATAACATTGTATTACAGAGGCAATTAAAATGGTATTCTAGCCTAGGTATACATGTGCGACGGCATTTCTCCAGTTCCTCCAGTTCAACCTAAACATCCCTGTAAAAAAGGTGGACAGGTAAGGATCTCCATGCAAGTCTGTTCCTGTGATCCTACCCAGCTGTAGGGGCTTTTCGCTTAGTACAAGCATCGGGGACTGCCGGTCTCCTATCTCATGCAAATTGGAAGCGAACCCTTCTTTTTTTTCTTTTTTTTTTTTAAAAAAAAAAAGCAAAATATATCAGACTACATA